GTCCACTGAGGAGCCCCTTCCACTGGCTCACCTTCCTCCGGCTCCACGACGTGTGTGTGTGTGTGTGTGTGTGTGTGTGCGCGAGCATGTGCGTATTGCAGGCACACACATGTGGGTATGTGTGAGTGTGCACATGCAAGCACCTGTCCCACCTCCCCACACCTTCATGATGTCCTGTTAGCAGCTCACTTCTGTCTTCTTGGTGCTGCTGGTTAGTGCGTTAGCTAGTGCTGCCCTCGAGGTTCCAGGGAGGGGTTTGCAGTTCAGCAGGTGGCCACCTTCTGACAGGGTCTGTCCCACTCACCCCTTGTGGCTCACCGGCCCCTTTAAAATGGCCTTTTCACCTGTAAGTCAGGTAGCTAGTGTGGTCTGGTCCCAGGAGACGCTCTGAAAAAGGCCATTTGTTGTCGGCCAGCACTGGACGAGGCAGGCGTGTTAGAAACGGTCAGTGATTTCGGGGCCCCACCTGGGGGTCAGAGAGAAGCATGCCAGGCCCCAGGCAGGGGGAGGCCTGACTGCCACCCCTGCGGCCCCCCGGGGCCCCAGTCTTGAGTTCTGCCCCAGGGAGCAAGGGAATGTAATGAAGTGTGAGGTGGCGCGGGCCCCCGCGGGAAGGGCTGCTCCTGGGCTGGCTACTTGCCACCCTGCACCTTCTGGTCATAGGTGCCCGCGTGCTTATAGCCCGGTACGTAGCCCGACTCATCCACCAGGTCCACACGGCCCGCCTTGCCCTTGCCCTTGCCTGATGGGTCGAAGCGTTCCTTGTGGGAGCCCGTGAACTTGGTCGTGTCCGTGAGCCGGGATACAGTGGGCGACGAGATGGCCTTCTGTAGAGGGAGAGAATGGGGCACGCCCGTGTGAGCGCAAGGGGCCAAGTGAGCGCGTGAGGTCGTCGGCAGCTGGGTCAGCACACCCCCAGGGAGTAACACGTCCGCTGTCCCACCCCAGACCTCACGGGCTGCTGCCCTCCAGGGACACCCTGCTAGCCATGCTCACCGTCACCCCTGAGATGATGGGGGCCTTGCCCTCGATGAGCCTGTGCACCTCGCGGACGGCCTCCTCGCTGCTCTTGTCTTTGAATCTCTTCTTGGAGAGCTCTTCAAGCGCCTCCTTGAACTGCTCGAATGTGATGGTCCGGCAGGATTTCCCTCTGAGGGAGGAGAGCGCTCAGGGCCCGGGCCAGGGCCACTCCCCTCCGTAACTCACAGCCCCACCAAATAGTGCCCCCAGAACCTGCTGACATCCGGGGACCAGGTGATGTCAGG